TAACTGTAATGAAGATGAGACTATTGAACATCTGTTAATTCATTGTGAACGATCTGTGGATGTGTGGAAAAGGCTAAAAGCTCTGGGTGTTAAATTCGATATAAATGTTAAGTCTATAATGTTTGGAAATTTTGAGGAAAGATTGTCAAAGAATGTTAAAGATTTTTATTGGTTGATTTTATTAGCAACTGTAATAATGGTAAATGATGTAAAATAGTAATACAACAGACGCAAATTCCTGCAGAAGTTGTTTTTAAACAGATAACTTTTAAACTGAAACGACTGCGAACAATGGACAGAAAATCAAAATATCCCTGGGCTCTGCTGGACTTCTAATAATTCTATAATTTTCTCATTTAAATTAATTGTAAGTTTGTGTATTATTGTATTTTAGATGGATTTGTTGTGTTTGTGTGTACAATGGTATTCATGTGACTTTGTATTGTTTTTTTTGTTTTTTTTATATGTATGTAATTGAAATATTTAATAAAGTTTATTTAAAAAGGAAAACTGGACTGGATGGGAGATGTGACACCAGACTGGAAAGAAGACAGGACACTAGACTGGGACAATAATTAAACTGGGTAAACTCCTAGGCCGGGCAGGGAACTGGAAGGGTGGCCGGGCAGAGGGGCAAACGTCTGTGCAAGCAGCTGCCACATCCTGAGCAGCTGGGGTACAACAACCATGGGGGTTGTGCAGGTGAAGTGGCCAAAAGGTCAGGAGGCTCATCAGCTTACAGGTCCAGAGGCCTAGCACGGCCAGCTGGAGGATCTGGAGGCTCGGCAGCAGCAGCCGATGGGTCAAAAACAAATGCACATAGATGGATGGATGGATGGATGGATAGATGAATAGATAGATAGATAGATAGATAGATAGATAGATAGATAGATAGATAGATAGATACTTTATTGAGCCAAAGGAAATGTAGCAGCCAGTAGCACTCACACAAAACAGCACAGTTATCATAATAAGGGTGGTACAATATAAAAAGAAGAATATATACAAAAAATGTATCTACAGGCGTGTATACAACTAGAAACATACAAAAAAATATGCAATAAGATCCATCCTGAGATAAAAAAGGCAGTCAAGTCAAAGGTTTGCACAGCGTTGTTCAGTGTGAAGCTCCATGGTGGTCGAAACGGTGCAGATCAGCCAACAGAGATGGAGTTTTGATGACTCTAAGCTCTGGTGGCTCCCACGTGGCAAACGTCACTCAGGGGCTCAAGTAAAGGGAAAGAGAGAGAGAGAGAGAGAGAGAGAGAGAGAGAGAAATTGATTATCAGGACAGGCCCATTTATAGAGAGATATTAGTGAGTTAATAGTGCAACAACTGATATTAGCAAAATGCTTGCGCAAACAGATAAGAGTCTAGTTTTAAATGTAGAGAATGTGTCTGAGTCCCGAACAGAGGTCGGGAGGTGATTTCACAATTCTGTATGAAAATGCTCGACCACCTGCTGTGGTTTTTCTAATTCTAGGAACCGTCAGCAGGCCATTATTCTGTGAGCAGAGTGTATGTTTGGGTTCATATGACTGAATTAATTCACTAAGATACTGCGGGGCCATTTAATGATTTATAGGTGAAGAGAAGGATCTTAAACTCCACCACATTTAACAGGTAGCCAGTGTAACGACTACAGGATTGGGAATATATGTTCAACTTTTTGGTCTTGTAAGGACTCTAGCAGCTGCATTCCGGACCAGTTGGAGCTTATTTAGTAACATCCCGCTAAAATGACGTTACAGTAGTCCAGCCTGGAGGTTATAAAGGCATGCACCATGCGGTAAAGTTTGTCCCTTGACCCCTGTAGTATGCAGTAGTAGGGTGCATACTCTGGGTAGTGTTGGGCAAATGGTCTGAGGGCCTGGAAAAAATTAGGCTTGCGCAAGAGATCTTCTTCTCCCATCACCATTTTTTAAACACAGACAATTACAGCTATTTACATATTTACAAACACGTGCACTTAATACGAAAAACAAAACGAAAAATAACGGTCTCTACAACCAGAGAACATAGATCTGTGACTGTAAAGTCATACAGACCATATACACTTATCACAGTTCAGTCAACTACTCTGAGCTGGAAGAATCTCCCCAGACCCTTAGTAATGCTGCTTATATTCAGGGAGCTCCTCCCCTAGAATAAACCATTACTAACATGAGGTAAAACAAGAGTACTGAATATTCATATATATTTACATACAACAGTAATTATATTGCATTTTCTCCACTCACTGTTGATGTTCACAGTTATGATGTCATTAGCATTCTTCCTCAATTACAGTGCACACTTATTAACACAATTTTCTCTCTTACAGGTTTTGTTCCTACCTCCCCTTCCACAGAGGATGAGCTCTGTTCTCTGTTCAGTTCTTAGAGGTAAGGATGACCGGTCCACAGGTAAGTATAGGTAAGTACATACAATAGTCTTGTATGAACTTGTGATAGACTTGTGTAAGTATACCAAGACCTATAAACAGACTCAGCATGATGT